CACAACCTGTACATTAAGAGCTGGGTTCTCTTGGTAGAGTAAGGGTTCACTCTGCTTACTGAATATCAAGCCATCCATTGAAGCCTACTGGAAAAAATTATATTCAGTAACCAGAATAAACAGTTACTCTACCAAGAGAATTAAGCCCTGTTATTTTATATAATATATCATTTTATAAATTTAATTGCTATCTATACATCCTATGTGTCAAATAAATGTTATGCGATTTTTTTTAAACATAATACATTGATAGGAATGAGGTTGAGCATAGGAGAAAAAAAAAACTTTACATTTTTTTTTAATTTTGCTGTGGAAGTTAAATTCTTCATTTTTCTTTGTATAATCAAAAGACTCACATTCCATTGATCAGTCATGTTCTCAATCATGTGGCCTATTTCGCGGATATTTCAATGTAAGGAATTGCCCTTTTTGTATGGATTTTTCTAATTTTCAAAGCTGCAGAACAGGAAGCACACGCTGAGATGAATGTCACATGATTTCTGATTACTATTGATACAAATCACTATTCCATTATGTTTTAATTGGCCATTAAAGTCTTGTGACAAGTAAACTATTCATCACGTTACAATGTAGCTGCATTAAATACAATGCTAGCATCAACTTGCACCAACATGTGTGCTCAGTGTGGCTAATGGAAATAGTGTAAAACCCTTTTATTTGAGACATATTTACTACTGCATACTCAAAGTTCAAGAGAATATTAGTCTTATTGCAAACTTAGGCCACGATATTCAAATTTGATAAAACAAAGTCACTGTAACTTTTTCCCAGCTCAGCTCTTTTAGCCAAATATTAGCAATCTCCTTGCCCATTCTTCACATTAGCCAGATTAGTGAATAATCTTGTGCATTTCACACCTGTGAGGCACAAACTTTAATCCAAATCTGTATTAACTGCTCACCTGACTGTTTGTGACATTGTCAACAGTAAACTTTAGCTGCTTAGAACATAATGCAAAAATAGATTTTCATGTTTTTTTTATTTTTTGAAAAGTTGCATTTATAAATAAAGGTTCATTAAAGGATCATTAAATGCACCCAGAACACTTCATCTTACTGAAGTGGTCTGCGTGCATTGGCCCATTAGTTTTAACCCTGCAATGTAAATTTCAGATTTGGGGTAACTACAATCTTTCCAATGCAGGGTTAAACACACCGCTATTGGCTATCTTACTGAGAGCCACCAGAGACACTTCCCTTGTGAGAACCAAGTGAGACTCGTTTACAATCAAATCCTGCTCCTAGAGAGCATTTGATTGGCACAGTGCAGCAATATGCTGTGCATGCACACTAGTATCCTATGGGTAGAACTACAGCACTAGGAATGCATGTGTGTATTTCACTATAGTGTTACCTGGTAATACCCAAAAGGAGTGCATATTTCCATTTACATTTTTCTAATTTTATCACACCTATTGTATTTACAACAAGCAACTACTGCACTAGCAGAGGTATTCACTAACGTTTGAATTGCTGCGAGTTTATAGAGAATTTTAAAGGACCACTATAGTCACCCAGAACACTTCAGCTCAATGAAGTGGTCTGGGTTCCAGGTCCCCCAGGTTTCAACCCTGCAGCTGTAAACATTGCAGTTTCAGGGAACCTGCTATGTTTACATTGCAGGGTTAATCCAGCATCTAGTGGCTGTCTTCCTGACAGCCGCTAGAGGATCTTTCCCGACGCTCAAGCATGCAGAACATCCATAGGAAAGCATTGAGAAATGGCCACGCATGCGCATTCAGCTTCACTCAGGACCTGACGTCGGAGGGGGAGGAGAGGTCACCAGCGCAGAGGGCGCTGGATTAAGGTAAGTGGCTGAAGGGGTTTAACCTCTTCAGCCCAGTGGGAGGGGGCTAAGGATTATATAGTGTTAGGAAAACAAGTTTCTTTTCCTGACACTATAGTGGTCCTTTAAATTATAAGCCAGAATAGCTAAGCTGGAAAAGAGACTAGAGATAAAAAGAATGCCGCGCTTATTATAGAGGGAGAGTAACACATAAAGATAATTGAATAATCACCTTTGCAATAGTATGGAAGGAGACCCTGGTCTCAAATGAGTAATGTACCAGATAGAATGAATACCTATAAGTACAAATAGCAAAACATGGTGCAGATCATACAGATTAAAGGTATATATAGGAATGTGATATTAAAAACGTACAAACGGAGAGCTAAAAACCTAGCTCTGGTGTGGATAGCGTCTGGTTCCATACAGGCGACCCACCCCTACAGGAAATGTATATTCTGTCCTGGGGGAGATATATACAATGCAGACATAGGGTAGTACCGTATAAGAAGATGAATAAAAGATCAGGCTGCCAAGTGGGTACTTACATTCATAGAGCCCCTATGGTTCAGTAACAGCATATTGTGCAGTTAGGGACTGCACTCCCCTGATAGTGGCAGGTAATAGTAGCTAATTAGACATTATACCCAGCTGAGGAAGCTACATGAAGTAGTGAAACGCGTTCCGCTATTTTATATGGACATTGTCCCTTTAATTGTTCAATAAATTATTTTATTTTATCCTGGTTTCCAGTTGGCTACTATTACCTACCACCATCAGGGGAGTGCAGTCCCTAACTGCACAAAATGCTATTATTGAGCCATAGGGGCTTTATGTATGTAAGTACCCAGTTGGCAGCCTGATTATGCATTTTTTCATTGTGGTTATATATAAAACCAGCTTACAAAACCTGCATTTCTCAAGTCTGCTGCCTTTGCAAACCCTCACCTTCTAACCCCGCCCAGACTTTATGTGGCTGTCCAATCACAGACTTCCCAATACAGTTCAATGAGAAGCCTTTGCAAAGCAGAAGCTTTTGTAATGAAAAAAAAAGTATTTTAAAGTAGCTATGAGCAAGGTCTGCCTCTTGAGTTTAGTTCCACTGAGCTAGCAAAACTAGGAAGTAACATTACCTGTTTGCTTAAAAGCCAATGGAGTGTAACCTGATTAATTTATAACAGTGCCAATTTCCATTAAAATCTGCACTTTTTGCAAAATGAAAAAACAAGGACACACTCTTTAGAGGTCTAGAGTGTCCCTTTAAGTACTTGTGGGTGAATACTGTCAGGCCCCAGAGTTTTGTTTACATTAACTTTCTTTAGTCGCTGTACGGCCTTATCTGGGGTCATACAATCACAATGAAGTTTTTTTGCAGCAATCATTTGCATATCACTTGAAATACAGTCCTCCCTAATATATACTGAGGAAAAATAATTAAAAATTTCTGTCTTTTCCTGGTCTTCATTATCTAATATGCCCATCTCTGTTTTCAATGTACCTACACTTTCATTTTTTATTTTTTTCAATTTATGTACTTAACATTTTTTCAGGGTATTGATTTCAATCTCTTTGGCTATCACATTCTCCTGTTCTAGGCTAACTATCTAATCGATTTTAACATGCATTATCGGCTTTCTTATATCTTACATAGGATGCCTCTGATTTGTCTGATTTAAATGCTTTAAATGCCCTTTTCCTATTTGTAATTAGAGATATCGCGAACTGCTCGCCGAACTGTTCGCGAACTGTCCGCCGGCGAACAATAGCGTGTTCGCGTTGGGCGAACATATGCGATTTCCGGTCCGCCCCCTATTCGTCATCATTGAGTACACTTTGACCCGGAACCTCACAGTCAGCAGACACTTCCTGGGAGGGAGGGTCTGCTGCTGATTGGCTGGAATGTGTCTGCTGACTGTGAGGTTCCGGGTCAAAGTGTACTCAATGATGACGAATAGGGGGCAGACCGGAAATCGCATATGTTCGCCCAACGCGAACACGCTATTGTTCGCCAGCGGACAGTTCGCGAACAGTTCGGCGAGCAGTTCGCGACATCTCTATTTGTAATTTCTTGTTTTTAATTCCCACTAAGCCGCATTGGTTTCAATCTGTTTCTTTTATATTTATTGCCCTATAGTACATACTGAGAAGTGTTCCTTTCTGATATTTTTTGAAGATAGTTCATTTATCCATAGTGGTTTTTTTTCACTAAAGATTTTATACCAGTCAATATGTTGTAAAGTTGCCCTAATCTTATTAAAATTGGACTTTTTAAACTTATATGGTTAATTTTCTTTTTTTGAGCTTATTTCAAAAGAAACCATATTGTGATCACTGTTTCCCAAATGCTCCCTTACTGTAATGTTTGTCAGATCCACACAAGCATCCTTTCTAGTTGGTGCTTGTAGTAGTTGTGAAATAAAGGTATCATTTAACAGGTTCAAAAACCTGATTCACCTTGCTGGACTACTCCAGGCATAGGCAACCTTCAGCACTGTAGATGTTTTGTACTACACCTCCCGTGATGCTTTGCAGGCATTATGTGTGTCAGAGCATTATGGGGGATGTAGTCCACAACATCTGGAGTGCCAAAGATTGCCTAAACCTGTAACTAGTCCCTCTATCCCAATGCATACCAGTAGTTTGAAATTTCAAGAAACTGAATTTATGGATAGTAGGAGCTATCGGATAAGGCAATGATGTGATTTATTGCATAACAGTAAATGTTTTATCTCCCCTGCATTCCAACAGTGTACTTGAAAGATAAGATGGCCATAGTTACCCCATATGAGTAATACATCTGGTGATTGTTTTTAAGACTACTATTATGATAAAATGACCCTCGGTACAAAATTTCCAATATAATGCGACATGTGAAATAATATGCAATGCAAACGCTTATTCTCAAAAGCTTTCACAATACGCAAGTTGACTTTGCTGCATAATACTGGGGTCATAAAAACAACACCAATAACGAAAGAAAATATAGAACAGAAAATGATACTCAAGTGAGGCTGGAGGTGATATTGACAAATTTATTTTCCAGCAAGTGACAAGCGTCACTGAATTGTAACTCTCTGACGGTGAACTGTAACCCCCTCTGCAGTGCTTGACAGGAGCGTGGCGCCGGAGCAGGAAGGCAGGCTGTCTGCGAGGCAGTGACGGCTTCAGCCTCTGGTGTGGGTGTTAAGGTGGGTTCAGCCCTCGTTTAGCCCTTGGCCCAAGGGTTTACATGATGAGAGGGACTGGAGCATCGTGGACAGCTTCACCCGTAGGGGCCCATGTGTCTTCTGGCGGCCTGACTCCTGCGGCCGACAAGCAGAGGCTGCTGATCGTTCCTCCAGCCGGGCCCAGAAGTTGGCAAACATTGCTTCCATTGCTAGCAAGGAGCTTTTAGTGACTTCAAGTAGCACGTCTGATGCCTGTTCCACTGAAGTAGGTTCATCCACCTTCTTGAGGCGCTCTGTAGCTTTCAAGTTTTCCCCTGGAGTACGAGGAGCTGCATGAGTCAACACAATATGGACCGGGATAACCCCCACCAGTACAAAGGGGGGGAGGGATTGCACAATTCTGTTTCCTTGTAGCCAGCTGAAGAGCAGGGAGAGCATCCACCTCTCCCAAGCTCCCTCACGTGTAGACAGCAAGGCCGCAATTTGGGCAGTCAGTTGCAGAGAAACTTGAGTGAGGTGTCCCGTGGATCACTGAAGCCCCCTCTTCAAGAGTCACACTTGGGTGTTCTATGGAATGTCATTTGGGCTGGGAATATCCCCAGGCCATTGATACCAGACGCAAAAGCTCTCATGGCACACGTCTGATCCACTTGGCAGTCAGGCTCTGCCGCCTTGTAACAGTTTTTTAAAACAAATTATTCTAGGCTCCATGGTGGTAAATCATAGAAAGGTTATTTATTTGTATAGTAACGTAAAAACCTTAAGTAAAAGTACGAATATACAGAATCAATATTGTGCATTTGGACAATCAATGAGGACCTAAAATTAAAATTTCATAAAGATAGATTTTTATGAAGATAGATTTTGTATGAAATGTTTTGGAATTTCAATTTAATTCCAGACCAGTCAAAATATAACATAAGACATGCCCTTAGTCCCTGCAGCCACCTCACTGCAAGTGGCAAAGCATTTGGGGTATTTGCTAAATATCTGAAGACCCCACAAGGTGGCAGAGACACTTTAAAATAGAGTAATGCTGAGACATGTGAAAAACTACAATTCAGCTCCAAAGACACCAATAAAGTCTGGAGACCTTCCTATTAGCCATTCGGATTCATCTGTTTGAGTAATACAACAGAGTGACTGATATCCATATTCCTGAACACCTACTCACCCATAAAATAGATTTTACAATAAAGGGAATGCTACAGCCCTTGGCGGCATTCCCCGTATTGCAAAACTTATTTTATGTTTTCATACTGTTCCGTAATAAGTAGCAAGGATAGTTAAAAGGGTGATTGGGAAGATTAGCATGACACAGTAGTATTAGCAAGGAGTTGATATCCCAGAATGCACATTGAGGGAAATGTAAGAGGCAATATGCAAGGAAATGTAAGAGGTGTCTCTACAGCATAGGCCTTACTGAGGGACTTTGGGGTCTGGCCCATTTGTGGGACTCTTCAGCTCTGGCTATGTACGGGTAGTGGAGGGGCAGGTATATATTAGTAGATTTTCATTTTTCATTTTACACAAAGTAGCCATCTGACATAAAAAGAAAGACAAATAATATACTACCTTACCAGGGTACTAAGAAAGAGGGAGGGGTGCACCCAGATAATTTTTGGGTAGGGGTTCTTGGTAACATCACATTGTTGTACACTGCTCTACCAGGTAGGCAAAATGTCTGCAAAGTATTAAATAACAGGCTGCCCACAGAATGAGAACCAAGTTAGCATCAGCAACACAATGATCATGGGTACGCAGAAGGGGACATAACATGGAGATGCAGAGATAAGTCATGACATATCCTCACCTCTATTTCACTGTTGGGGTTATCAGGTTCTGCTTTGGGCTGAATCCCAGCCACTCCTCTACTCAACAATATCCATCTTCCAAACAAGTACAAGAAACAGAATATTTGAGCACACAACAAACTCAAAAATAATCAAACTGTAAAATTCTATTTATTCCTAATGCTATGTTCTAATACATTTCTTTTTTTTTTTTTTTTTTGCATGGTGCTTTTTTTAACAGACTTCCTAATGTAACACTTTAAAAGTTGAATACACAATGGGGGTAATCATCTGGCTCAATTTATTACAATTATTTTTTTTATTTCAAAGGGAATTTTAAATATTGTTTACAATAGTTGAACAGGAAAAAAAATACTCCAGCTATGTTTCCAGCTTGGTTATTTTCAAATAATATTTTCAGTGTTCTTTGAAATCATTTTAAATTACCAAGAAGTTATACTTTAGTGAACAACCCTTTGAGTGCACAGGCCAAATAAAAGATCAATACAGGCTTGGAGATTTAAAAAAAAAAAAAAAAGCAATAAATTAATTTAAGAAAGTCTTGTGTGTCAAATGTGATCAATCAAGCAAATGCATCTCAGCATCTCTCGGTCTCCAGAACTAAAAATTCAACCCTGTTGCCAATCGTATCCAATTATGCTAATTTATGCATTTATGTCTCATGAACAGAATAGTGTTTAAGTAAGAATATGCAATCAGTGTATTACCACTGCATCACATAATCGATATAACAGTATCTCCAGCTGTGCTGTAAGAAGGTAACTCAATGACTTGATACGGATCAAAATCAAAAAACTTCTGAACGGCTAGGTTTACAAGCATGTTGGTTCATTCAAGCTCAGTTTTTTGGGAAGACACAGCGAAAACGCAAACAGCTGCATTTTTTGGCAGACATTACATCACATTACATCTTCATGAGCTTAACATTAAGCTGCAGGGAGAGAATAACAAAATGCGTGATTTGATAACAGCAATCTGGGCTTCCCAGAAGAAACATTGGAAATTTTCAAGACTGATCTCCAGGGACAACGTGTCCTCCTCACCAAACAATTGGAGGAAAACCAAAGAGAGAAAGATGTTCCACACCAGGCAGATTTCCTACAGAAGTCAATGGATAATTGAAGATAACTGATGCTGTACATACAGAATTCCTTATTGTTCACTAAACAGATTTTGCAGATGAAGGAAAACAAGTTTTGTGATGGCAAAGTGTTGGCTAAATGTTACACCGCTATAAATGGAATTTATTAACCTCCATAGAACTATAGTTGTAAAATAACTCATGGAGAACCAGAGAGATGGGGCTACACCTAGACCCAACACAGAAAAAAAAAAATCTAAATCTAAATAGCTAGTCGCTTACCCTGAATTAATTGGAAGGGAACGACGGGGATGCTCCATTCCCAGGTATCTTCAATATATTTAGGTCGGCAAACAGAACCGGCATGCCAAGAGCAGCATATTTCAAATATGCAAAAGGAAATATGTGTGTGACTCCCTTGGTGTTTTTTCAGTCTGTAAGTATCCTTTAAACCATTCGATATATTTTGAAAATGTTGCTTTTGGCTTTCCATTATTGTTTCTCAACCTATTTCTATTTAAAACAACTCATTATTGGTTGGGACATAGCATTTACCTGTTGCTAATATCATGCCCTCCCTGAGTCACAGAAATGAAGTAGGTTCTAGCAGGGTACCCCAGGTGTAAGGCAGCCTAGTTGTATCCTATCTAAGGCTTAATCCGCAAGCCAAATGCTGTTACTGACTATACAGTGATTATATGATGCTAGCCTGTAGTACAGGGCTTCGACAGGGCCAGCGCATTAGGTATCCCGGTGAGTCTAATCAACCAAGGTGGCGGTATAATGGTGGATAAAATTTTGATTTCCCAAGCAAGTCATAATTTAGTTTTGTTATTTTTGCTCTGTGATGCAGCTGTCTGTGTTCGTTTAACTCCCTTCCTCCCAGCAATCACTATAAAGCGCATTAGTTCAAACTAGTTTCACCTGTTATTGTTCAGGAAGCTCAGGGGAATGTAACGTAAGAGCATATGGGAGTCTTTGTATTTTCCAGTATTTGTGTGAGCATGCACTGCCCCAATTTAATATTGTTTGCTAATCTTTTCTAATGATTTAATAATTTTGGTTACATTTTTTAAATGATTCATATCAACATATAGAAAAATCGAAATATTAAAATAATTAATTACTTTAAAACATTTATCCAAAAATATTGATTAATTTAAAAAGCTCATCCAAATGTACTAGATGCAGACCTATATATATATAAAGGGACACTATAGTCACCAAAACAACTTTAGCTTAGTGAAGCAGTATTGGTTTTCTAGGTCATCTCCCAGCAGTCTCACTGCTCAGTTCTCTGGCATTTAGGAGTTAAATCACTTTGTTTATGCAGTCCTAGCCGCACCTCCCCTGGCTGTAACTTACATAGCTTTCCTAAACATTTCCTGTAAAGAGTCATCTATTGTTTACACTTCCTATACAGCTAATTCTCTTTAAGTGACAGTTTCTTATCTTCTGTTCTGTTAATAGCTGGTTAGGTCCAGCAGGTTCCTTCTGTATGTAATTAAAGTTCAATTTACAGGGCAGGAGATAAAAACATTTAAGGTAAGTTACATCTGACTGAAAGTGAAACCATTTTGTTTTCATGCAGGCTGTGTCAGTCACAGCCAGGGGAGGTGTGGCTAGGGCTGCATAAACAGAAACAAAAGTGATTTAGCTACTAAATGGCTGTGAATCGAGCAATAAAACTTCTGAGGCATGATCTATACACAAACACTGCTTCATTAAGCTGAAGTTGTTTTGGTGACTATAATGTCAGTTTAAGTATGATCGACTAAAGGAGGCTGACAACCATTGGCATGAGGCAAGTACAAAAAAATACTGTTTTTATGCTTTACAACCTCCAGTTATGATTGTACAGCATGACAGAGCTTCCAAAGAGACCTGTGCATGTCTTAGAGATACAGACATGGTTTCCCATGTCATTATTGTCACCAATGACAACCTACAAGTCCTATTAATGTAATGTGACCTCTCTCATTTCACCATATTGACACTAGCAAAATGATCCAGGGACTTCATAAATACTCACTGCAATTGTCAGCCATACTTATTGGAATTGGAATACTGCAATTCACTGGTAAATGACCCAATGGGCAAGTCCAGGTCCAACGATCATTAAGATTGTGTGCCGTCAACTGATGCACATTATAATGCTGAACTAGTAACGACCTGCAAACATTTTAATGGCTGCGTTACTGCTGCACACAGACTCCCCAATACACACAGACATTCCAATACACACAGATATTCCAATACACACAGACACTCCAGTACACACAGACACCCCAATACACACAGACACTCCAATACACACAGACACCCCAATACACACAGACACTCTAATACACACAGACACCCCAATACACATAGACACCCCAATACACACAGACACCCCACCTCCGGCTGGTTTAATTCCCATAAAGTGGCTTTAGGTAGTAATAATGCAAAATCAGTGTGCTATGTCATTATACGTATATGGCTCTTGTCAAATGTATTTCATAATAGTAAGGACACATTGAAAAATAACATGCAAACCGTGTATTGTTGCTTATTTGTATCCTATTCAGTGGTGGCTATGCTTAGCACTCCACATGTATCTGAACTACATTTACCACAATGCTCATCCAGTCTTAGAACTGTTTGAACTTCACAGAAATGTAGATAATCAGGGATATCAAGGATAACCATCACTGTCTGTCTTACAATAATTATCCTTATTTATTTGAATATTTGAATTGTAAGTTTACTAATGGAATGTTAAAGGATCATCATTCTAAGGACCCCAACCTTTTAGTACATTGTAGTGATTATGGTGCCGGGTGTCTCACATTAGACAATCAATCCTTTTAAGAACTTTTGCATTACCACACCAGCTCAGATCATAAGCATCGCAGGCTCCAGAGAGAGATACTTTTCATCTAAGTGTCAAATTGTTTTACTACTTACCATCGGATGGTGCCAGGGGTCTCCTTGCACCATTGCTACTACAGCTTACTGTAGTACTGTAGTGGTTATGGTGCCTAAAGTGTTCCTTTAATAATATGTTTTAATTTAAAAAAAATTATAATGTGAAATGCTGTGCGGTAAACTAAACAAAATAAAAGTCATGTTGTAAACAAAATAAAAAATAAAAAAACATTCAAAAACAAGTACCCGGCTTTTTTTGTTAATCAAACGTTGTTGATTTGGTTTGAAACCATATGTGGTTGTCAAGCCAGTACGACTCCTGGTTTACAGAAAAAAAAAAAAAAGATTTTCTCTGATGCATTCATACAGTATATTGCATCCTGACAAAAATACAGGACTTTCCACTTTTGATTTAACATTTCCATTATTTAAACGTTGAATTATGCATTGTTTTTGGATGTCTCACAATACAATAAGGTGAAGCGTTATAAGTAGTTAATTAGCTGGTGCTTTTTTATAAATAAATAATACTCATACGTTTGGCCAGTGAACTCGTACATATTGGCACTACATGTAGATATAAACTGAAATGTTTATTGCATGTCTTTGTTGAGAGTTCACATCGGACATTTTAATGGTTCAAAGGTATATTTAGAACTTTAATTCTAAGTCTGTAAATTGATGCTTGCTCCCTGCTATTACAGACAGTGGTTGGGAGAACACGTGTTAACAACAGTAAATGGTAATTTCCACCCAAATTATAGTCTCATTTTATGTTTAAGAGCTGCTTAAAACATGCTCAGACCCAGGTAAAATGTGCATTTTTTTTACGTTTTAAAAACGAAGAAAAAAAAAAGAAAGTGAGATTGATGACTGTTTCAGTAAGTACCTCATTTGTACTTGAATATTTCATATTCTATCTATCTATCTATCTATCATTATATTTTATATATAATTTGTGCGCATGTTTTTTTTTTTTCAAATTTCACTATTAAGTATTATACAAAAAGTATTAATACTTTCAGTTTTCAGATACGTCTTGGAGTTTACTTGTTGTAAATACCCAAGTTTCTGCAGGGATATGTGAATTACTGAAGTGACTTTGCCAGCAATTTAACCTGCAGATTTGAAGATCGAACATGTATGAAATGCAACATCTGGAATAGTAACTAGTAAACCATACTATCACAGCTACACCGGCACGAGAGAACTCTAGAGTTCACACTGACAGAGAAAGTGCATTAACAGAGTTTGCTATTACACTGATTTGCACTTGGTAGCAACCGGAGACAACTGTTTCACTCATGTGAGCACACTCTAAACTTGACTTAGAGATATGTTTTAGAATTGCAATTTGAGTTTATTGGATGATCGGTTAAATTCCCGAACTCCGAGCTGAAATGTACCTGAATCACAAAAGGAATTGCACAACGGCCAAGCATGTTCATTTCATTTTATGGTTCTGGGTTCTGCCTGTGGCAATACAAAAAGAGATGAATGATGGGGAAAAAAAGATGATCGATGGCTAGGGCACAGCCTGTGGATGTTTTATTCACAGGTCATTTGAGAAATGACCAATAGAGAGAACAGGAGGACCAGTAAAAAAAACCAATATTTATATATTATATATCTAATATTATGTATTGAACATATAAATAATGATTGTAACGAAATCCCTTATTAAACAGACTATGCGAACCAGCCTGTTCGGTTATTTAGACGTGTGTGGGGTAATTTCGTGCAAATAGCAATAAAACGAATAAACTGGCGAATCACCCGACCTCCTACTGAGGTCGTGTGGTGCCCATTAACCACCCAGACTTTGCGGTTAACCACATAGTAATTGGGGAATAGCTTGGTGGTCCACGTTCGTCTGCCGAACACGTGGCAGTCGCCATTTTAAATTGTCGAACGCCCAGCGGTAAATGGCGGCGATGCCCTGGAACTCTTTTTTGGATACTTATTCTGCCGAACACCGCTGATACCTACCAAGGTCCTCGTTCATACGGCTGAAAACACACGAATGCCAGAGACATTGCACCGTTCGGGACTTGGATTTATACGAAAGAGACCGACCCCAGATAGCTACAGTGTGGAACTCTTTGTCGGATACAGACACGCGAACGGCTGGTGAAGTACAAACTTCATTCGACATTGTTGAGAACTGTGTTCGTGGGATCTGAGCGCTATTCGCCTAGAATATGCACTCAGATCCAAGCTATCTGGGGGTATGTAGGACTTAAAGTTTATGTTCAGTAAAATATAAGTTATAGATTTTTATGCTGTTTTGTGAATATGGGAAAAGCCATGTTTCTTGGCTTAATTAAGGCTCTCTTTACTACCTTAAGTTAATTATCTCCAGGATGGAAAGAAGGGAATGACCTATGTAAAAGGGGAGTGCTTATGTTATAGCCACTGCGATTGGCTACTGTAATTCTTTTGTCCCAGTCTTCCATCTGGTCCCCTAGGGGAGTGTCCACCAGGTGGGAGACCTGCATAAATACCGGGCAGGTAGCCCCCATTAAATCAGATCGTTTTACCCCTTCATGAAGTCTCGACTCATGTTTGGGGGCTTGGAAGCTATAATCACTCTGTTTCAGCGGGATTTCGAGAGAAGCTACAGGGACTCAGCACTGCACGAATAGAAGGATCCTTTACAATGATTTATTTTGTTACTGCTCCTCCTGGTTTTCTTCTGTTGGTTACTTTTTCTCACTTGATTTGTGGACCAATTGCGAAAAAACGCTCCTATCAGTGTATGTAAAAGCAAACACATAATTATGTTGTTCATTGGTTGGCCTATTTTTGGACTATTTTTGCACCCATTATTTTTGTCTGATTCGTTTCCTGAATTGAATTTTCGGTACCAAGATGAACTGACATATGGTAAAAATTTGAGCTTCACAAAAAAAGGGTCTGTTTTTGTAACAAATGGCCTGGACAAGTCAAATTTTCTCACTGTGCACAAGTCTACTATAGACTTCAAACTAAAAATTAAACTGCACAAAAGAGAGACAACCAGTGCACTCAGGACAGGTCTAAAAATTGCTTTGTTTTAATCCAATGTTCTCTGACCTTTTCCTCCAAAACCCAATAACGTTAAATTATTATTTTGTCTTCAGATATAAATTATTTTAGTATGGATGGATACATTGCTATTTAGGCAGGACATTGCTCAATATTCAGCTTTGGTGGTTAGTACACCACAAACAGTGTCACAGATATTTTTGTAACCAGTTTTATGCTATAAAATATATAAATTCTGTTCCATCTATTTGTCTGCTTCCCACAACACCCACTCCTAAATAGTCTGGGATTTAGTTGGGGAAATGTTTTTGTTAGCTAGTGATTAGCATAGCGAAAATTCCGAGAGCTGGTCTAGTCTCCAATGTTTCCACACTATCCCATCTTAATCTTTACAACATGTGTCTCTCCTGTTACTAGGCCTCTTGCTTCATACTTACGCGCTGTAAAAAATGAAATGTATGTTCTGTTATGCACATCAAGAAAGGACGCGTCAATACGAGATCTTTCTCAAGATCTTATTTACCAAAGTGATAGAGATTTAGTGCATTTTTGTAGACAAGATTCATAATTGGAGGTAGGTAGGTAAGGGGACATAATTTTGGAGCTTTTCTCTTTCCTGCAAAAGAACATTATATTACAGTTTAACTAAACTAAAAAAAAGCTTTGGATTATTAGACTGATTGAAAGATCCTGTTAAAACAACCCTTTATGAAGACAGCCAATGGCTTTACGAGTGTGATGTTGCACAAAAAAAGAGATCTTGTCCTACACAGCATATGTCATGATTTTTAAAGGACCACTCGAGGCACCCAGACCACTTCAGCTTAATGAAGTGGTCTGGGTGCCTGGTCCAGCTAGGGTTAACCCATTTTTTCATAAACATAGCAGTTTCAGAGAAACTGCTATGTTTATGAATGGGTTAAGCCTTCCCCTATTTCCTCTAGTGGCTGTCTCATTGACAGCCACTAGAGGCGCTTGCGTGCTTCTCACTGTGATTTTCACAGTGAGAGCACGCCAGCGTCCATAGGAAAGCATTATGAATGCTTTCCTATGTGACCGGCTGAATGCGCGCGCAGCTCTTGCCGCGCGTGCGCATTCAGCCGACGGGGAGGAGAAGAGGAGGATCGAAGGCAGAGTGCTCCCCGCCCAGCGCTGGAAAAAGGTAAGTTTTTACCCCTTTCCAGAGCCGGGCGGGAGGGGTACCCTGAGGGTGGGGGCACCCTCAGGGCACTATAGTGCCAGGAAAACGAGTATGTTTTCCTGGCACTATAGTGGTCCTTTAAACATACAAAATTAAGCCCTGCGCTCAAACTCCCACTACACCTGGGAAGCAGCAATGACTATAGTGCACATCAGCCCCAATACAAACAAGAAAAACATTGAAAAAAAGTAACTTTTCCACTCTCCCAAATTCCTATGCATATTTAAATAACTAGATGTTTTTTAGTATCACACAAATGGCTATTTAACTGTAAGCTCACCTGCCACATCAAGGCAATACCTCTTAGGTGAGACCTACTCTAACAATTCACCTTGCTGTCTTCAGCTAACAAAAATCTGCAATGAGACAGAGAGGGGGTATTTTCCTAAACCCCTACGCACTTATTAACCCTTAATACTAAGCAAATGGGGTGGGCGGCAGCACTGTAATATTGCTGTGTAATACAAAAGCAAATACAAACATACAAAACAAAGCGCTACGCTCAAACTCCCACTACTCCTGAGCGGCAGCAATGACCGTAGTGCACATCAGCCCCAAAACATACAATCAAAAAAACAAAGAAAAAAAGTTAATTGAACACTATCCCAAATCCCTATGCACATTTAAAAAATTGGAGGTTTTATTTTATCATTGAACATTTTTTGAAAGCTGTACATTGTACATATACCAAAATAATATGAAACTGATAACATTATTAGAGAAAGATGTAATGATGCAGCTGTTGTGTGATAAGATATGTGAAGTACCTTAGTGTTTTTTTTGGAACATACGATAGTGCCAATAGCTAATATTTGCCCAATGACTCAGGTTCCGCGACATTAAAAGAGGTGCAGAAGGTCAAATATGAAGAAGCTGGTTGGATCATATATTCAGCACATTGCACAGCTTCAATAATCCCTCCTCTTACTTTTACATATCTGTATTCTAAAAAACAGTAAACCAGAAAGACGGAAATGGTAGGTGTAAAATAAAGCAGGCATTGGAGGAAGGGAGATTACAAGGAATTACGGTGCTGTAAAGATCAGAGGATTTGAGAGATTAGAGTGACCAGTTTTGCCATAGACAGACCAACCACACTGAAAAAAAGGAATAGATTCTACGGATCAACCTGTGCATATCAGCAAATAAATATTTAAATGGCAGCTCAATGCAAGCTTGGAGGAGTTCCATTCTATCAGCGCTCAAACAGTTTAATCTATCTAATTTACAAAATCTCAGTGATTGTAGCTAATATTCCCAGAGTGATACTGCCTGTAACAAACTCTATACAACAGGGATAGCGTGAAGCTCTTCTCTTTTTAACGATGTTATGTATTGATCCCTTTAATAAAATGATGTTGGAGAAAATCTGTAGCAAATGTCATTGTTACTATGGAAATAATACCTTTGGTAGTTTAGTTCATTTAATTTCATTATGGTAATTCCCGTAAAAGTAATATATCTTTATTTAATTTAAATTACTGTCAGACGGCATGCCAAAGAAAACTGTACATGTTAAATAAATATAGCAGACTAGACCAAGATCTCTCTTACACCATGTATATGATTATCAGAAATCCCATTTCAAAACCATTTGCTTTAAAGGGATACTCTAATCTAGCAGTTCCTGAACTGTGTGCCGCTGCGCACGGAGAAAATAATCGTGTCGTGCCTCCCTCTCTTCTGAATGACTGGTGGGGAGATCAGAGAGCTGTAGTGGTTATTGTGCCTGGATTGTTTCTTTAAAATTTTTACCAGTGCCCCTCCCTTAGATTCTGGATCTGCCCCGACAGGGAAACATTCTACTGAACAGGGGCCCAGCATATGCCGCAGCACTGTACATTTATGCAACTTAGAATTTTTTTTGACTTAGGGCACCTTGGAAAAAATGTGAAATATTAAGGGCACCTCGAACCTAAAAAGTTTGGGAACCCCTGCTCTAATCAATATAATAACTTTAGTTTAATGAAGTAGTATTAGTATATTAGTCTTATTGCTCAACTCTCTGCCATTTAGGAGTTAAATTACTTTTGTTTCTGTTTTTGCGGCCCTAGCTAAGCCTCTCCTGGCTGTGACTCAAACAGTCTGAATGAAAAAAAAAAATGTTTCATTTTCAACCAGATCTTACATCACAGTGTGTTTAATTTAGAACTTTATAATTTCTGCTCTGTTAAAAGAACACTTTAGTAGGCATACAGACATTAATGAGATGAGTGATAAAGCAAACACAGGGGATCTCTACAGAGATATCAGGATTGGGTGGAACAAAAACACACAGACCAAATCACAACAAATAGAGTTTCCGTATACGGGTCCTTTGAATGGCCAGGCTAAAGGAGTCGATAAGGATAGCCAAGATCAAAAGGATATAGAATACTGGATAAACAAATACACAAGACAAGGTCAAAGGATTAAAAAAGACAGGAATAACGATAAACCAGAACCAGAAAAATGTATCAAAGAAGAATACTGCAGTAAAGGAGTAAGAACCACAATAGGGTTTTAAGAAATGGGAGAGGTAAGTATATATAGGCAGGTCTTAACTCCCATTGCTCCAAGTCAGCTTGGAATTACGTATAATTCGAGGACAGTAATTGACCTTTTCAGTTTGACCTCTAACGTCATATTTGTGCTCCGAATTTGGTTCTGTAAATTTGGAATTCGGTTAGTAGAATTACAAATTCGGGACTGAATTTGGGCTGAATTCGGGCGCACATAAATGCACACTGTGTGTAAGCATTCAGTGTTGGACGGGATGCCGGAGAAAGGAGAGAAGTGGGCAGCAGACCTGACAGGAGAAGAGCTTACAATGTTTATATATTTTTAGGAAGGTAATTGGAAAATGCACGAGGCCCACTCTGAGCATGTACTGGATAGGAGTGTTACGCCATTTTTACAGAATATGTAACATGTTTGTATCTTGGAATATAAACCCAAATGATGCCATTGTTATCAGCTCGAACATAGAATAATCACATCTTCCATAAAATCACTAGAAAATATATACAGTACCACATCATCAGTTAATAGATTGCATACAGTGAAAACATGTAATAAAACAGATGTTCATAATATAAATGTGTCAATGAATGATGGGAAGTGCGAACAATAACAAACCTTAAAAGCAATTGGCATAGTTCTAGTTTTCATTAAATCAATCCAGGTGTAAATTGTTATGGCAGACTGGCATTTCAAAATTACTCAGCTACACGTTTCATCTGTATGAAAATGAAACACACATTTCTCTTGCTCCATAGGAAATTGATCATGTTTCGTAAACTCTGGGGTACCAAAATAGGGGTTTTACATTGCTTTAACTAATGAATTACCTAAATATGTAAATAATTTAAAATTAAAAAAAACATCAAAAACATGCTGTGACTATTCGTGAATTCAATTTTTCAATTAGTTGCTTTTCCCAAAAAAATTTTTGTCTAAATTATGCATTTAGTTTTTTTCAACTCACTACATTCCAATGTTTAGTAAATTAACTTCATTTTGTACCAGAAATATTTACTATATAACAAGTTCATGTAGGGGGTAATTTTAATCAAAAAGTCAACTTTAAAAAAAGTAACAAATTACACATTACATGTAAGATAATGATTGTGTGTTCATAAATCATTTAACACACTGCTCAAAATTATTGTTCGAAAGGATTTGGCTCAGTTAAAGTTGATGTTGAGTGGAGGTTAAGGCAGGTGTAGTTTTTTTAGGATTAGAGTTGGTGTAGCATTAGCATGCCTTCCAGCAGCCTCAATTTTGGGATCCTACACCATCGTCCCACTTTAGTTCTCTGGTGTCCCACATCTAGGGACAGTAGGGAACTGTCCATGGGAAGCATGGTGCAAGCATATCCTCAGATGTGTTCGGGCACTAGGAAAATGCAGTGAGCGCTTCAGGTGCATGGACATTTCAGAAAGGAGCCGGCCAGACAAGTTATCAATCAGCTTGGCATGCTTGACACCAGGCTGACATTCCACTTCACTGAGTGGGCCTACCCCTACACCTTCAGTGGTTGGGGCCCACCACTTTTCCAGGCAGACTCACCTGTTATGTGCAACGCTGGTGATGATGTCCACTTCAGGGCCTGCCTACTTCCTGATTGCATACCTCCCAATATTGAGAGGTGTGCATTAGGGACTGGGGCTGTTTAGTGTAAGGGGGACTTATAGTTATGTGGCTTCAGTTTAGAGGACTTAGGTTTATGGGGTGTATACAGTAACAAGATACCTGTCTTCAGGGGTCTGTAAAACCCATAATTTTCAGTCACCCACAATCCTAATCATAGATACTTATAATCCTAAAGCAGGGCTGCCCAACAGGTAGATCCCCAGATGTTGTAGAACTACAACTCTCATAATGCTTTGTCATTCTAAATGCATTCTAAATGCATTCTAAAGGCACGCAAAGCA